TGATTGGTCATTGTATGATATGGTGAAGACTTCATGACACCTAATGGATTATCTAGTGAGGCATAGTCTTGTCTTAATGATAAGTGGCCAACCCATTAATGTTCATCGTATGATCTACTAGTAACTTTGTGACATGCAGTGAATCATCTGGTGATGGGCCTGACTTATAACTATGTGACAAGCAGCCCAATTACTGGGGTGCAGTGTATGATCTAGCGGAGACTTCATGGCGTGTGGACTAGTAAACCATGTGTTGAGTTGATCAAGTCACTAGACTACTTAATATGATATAGTGGTAACTTTGTTATACCTAGTGGATCATCAAGTGATGCATATTCTGACATATTCCCTTTTGACTGTTGGAAAATTGGCCTATATAAGATTACAATATGAACTAGTGCACCTATGTGGTGCCCAGTGGATCATCCGTTGATGTCTGCATCTATTTACCTTTACACCCAATATATGTGCATCCATTAGCTCATTTGGAGCTTCTATTTCACTTCAACTGACTAACACATATTGAGACTTAGAGATATCCAATCCTAGATTGCATCTTGTGAGAGTGTGCTTTGAGTGCATCGGGTGTTGTTGGCTTAATTTTCATCAATACTAAAGCATATCCCCGCGTTGCCGCGGGATTTTCTTAAAAAATAATTCTGTTATATACATAACATTAATATATGGTATTCCGTATACTATGTATATATATGAATTTGACTTGCATCTTATTTTATTGAATCAGATCCGACCGGTAAAAAATTGGTAACCCAATAGAAGAAAAACTAATAGAATATTTTATTACATTATAGATGAATAGGTGCTGAAAGCGTATGTAAATGACTTGTATGTTAATAGATTAAATATTAAAAGTATTGCACATGATAGAGATGACGTGGACATTTTTTTATAATTAATAAGGGATGACATGGATTTAGTGGGGAATGATGTGGACACCTTGCATGAAGAGATAGAATATCTAGTGGGATCATTTAGTGGGAAATGGTGTGGATACCTTGCATGAAGAGAAAAATCATCTAGTGGGGTTTAATTTTATAAGAGTATATTGATATGTTGTTGAAGATTTGTTACTCTTTCTGTTTCCAACACCTAAATGCCCTAGTGGAGAACTAGGTAACCTTCCTAGTGGAGCTTCTTATTGTACTCCAATTGGTATTCTCTAGTGGAGCCTTGAGACATGACTCAAGGGAGGAAAACAGGGTCTTTATGACTAATCTTTGGTTCTCCATTGTGATTTATGGGGTCTTGGTAACAACCTGACATCATGAGAAGAAATCAAGTTGTCTCTTTTCCTTTCTTTACTTCCTTACATTACTTTCATGTGAAGCTTAGAGCTTTGTTTGTTTTGTGCAAGCTCTTTTATGTGACAACTATAATTGCTTGTAGAGTGTGTGTCGGTGCGAAAAGTGACCAACAAGTAAATAATTGTAGTTTTGCCATACGTTATGATCGGATGTGGCCTAGCACTCAATGACACAGGGTTTATACTAGTTCAGGTAACGTGCCCTACGTCCAGTTCCAGTCGGTTGATGAATTTATTCCTGAGCCCATGTGCTCGAAGTTTACTGTGGGGTTACAAACGAGTGTGAATAAGAAGGGGGTGTTAAAGGTCCGGTCGAGCTCTGGACCAAAGGGCCAAGAGTGACGGGAGCTCCTACGTGCGCTAAGTATTGAAACGTATGCTCTGTGTACCTTTAGAGTTCTAGAGCCATGGAACTGTTCGAGTGCTCATAATGTCTAAAGCTAGTAGAGAGAGAGTCGGAATGATCGTCCTCTTTTTAGGAGAGAGCACATTCGTTTGATGGGTGAAGGGGATGGCCTTACAAGTTTAGAGAGAGAGAGAGAAAGAGAGAGTGTGTGCTACCTAGTCTTGTTGCCCACACCGTCGGGTACAAGACGGTTTGTCGGCGCCCACAATACTGTTGACGCCCAGATGCATGTCGTAGGCTTCATCGTGTTCTTCTGGTATGGCAAATGTTGGCGTCTACCATACTGTAGGACAAATGTCGGTGCCCACAACATTGTTCGTGTTCTGACATGTCTAAAAGATTGCAAAGCACCCTTCTGGCATGGCCTGGTGGTACTATCCTGCTGGTGTGCAAGGTACGGTCCTCGGTATTATGGTTGACTTGAGTGCCTTGCCTTATCTGCTCCGCCTGATTCTTGGGTCCTCACCGAGCAGGCGTCCCGGTCGGTCATTCCCAGTCGGCTCCAACCGCGCCGGTCAGAAAAGAGCTGTAAGCAGAGGTTCGATGTATTCCGGGTTGGAAAAGCGGGTCGGGGTCAGAAGCGAGTGTTGTCCCCTCCTTGACTAGACCTTCCGGTCGGAGACTGGATCGCTCTTTCGGCCTGTCGTTAGGTATCTGGGCTGGCCCATGAGTCGCACGTTGTTGTAATGCCGTCTGCTGGGCTGAGCTACTACTGGGAAACGGACCCATCAGAGAACCTGGGTTTATGAACCCAACAGTGTGGTTACCAATAGGTTTAAATTTTGCACCTAAGGACCTTGGTCTTACTGTGAATCTTGTGGAGGACTTCCTAGTATGATGGCCCAAATCGCTCATTACTGTGCCCTTTTTACTCTTAGCTGCCTCAGTGCAAGTTGGTGAAGTAGTATATATTTGCATAGGCCAAGTGTAAGAAACATATAGAGCCTAGAAGGGTTAAGTGATTTTTGTGGTATTAGGATTGTCCTAACTATATGGAAACTAGCAACCAGTTTTGGGGTTGGGACTGTCCAAAGAATCATTTGAGCTTGTGCCTTTTGGTACGATGGCCACCGTCTGCATAGCTCACGGCTCATCTAATATTTAATTCCATAGCAACTAAGCCGTGTTTGGAGTCTGACTTTGATTTCTGACACCACGGTTTGCATGCTGCAGTGTGCATTGTTCGGTTCGTCGATTTCACTCTACATCATAGCTGCTCTATTCTTTGTACCACTACAAGAAAAATGATTTTAGGAGATAGGACCAAATCATTTTTGTGGCGGGCACACCTAGGGACCGCCTCTGTAAATGGTGAGGAGGGCTACAGGAAAATGCCCGTCTCCGAAAATCATTTACGGAGGCAGGTGTCCAAAGACGATCGCCTCTGAAAATCATCGATTAACGTCTTAGGGTGTCTGTCTCCGTAAATCGATTTTCAGAGGAGAACATCTTGAGACGACCACGTCCATTAATCGATGATTTTCGGAGACGGTCGTTCTAAGCATCCGTCTCCTAAAATCAATTCACGGATCCGTCTCTATAAATAGTTGCATCAAAAAATAATTCATGGCTTTTTCATATGAGCTCGATGAAGAAAAACTTTATATCAAAATTGTAGACATTGGTGGGATCTACAGCTATGTAGATGAAAAGTTTTGAATTGAAACTGCTTGAGCCTTAAAATGTTGTTGGAAGTTCAGAGATTTTGAAATTTAAAATTTAATATTATCAAACAATCTCGGATGTTGACATGAAAGTTATAGTTCTCAATACGATCTATAGCTTTATTGATTAGAAGTTTTTTATTTGAAGTTGTTTAGTGTCCCTAATTTGTGTTATAAGTTTACAGATGTTGAAATTCAAAATTTAGAATTCTTAAATGATCTCGAATGTTCACATAGTTAATACCAAAGTTGTAATGTCCCACCAGAGCTACGTGTTTACTATTGTCAAGTTTTTTATTTGGAATCATTTAGAGTCTCAAATATTTATTTTAAATTTACATATTTTGAGATTCAGTTTTTATTATTTTCAAACAATCTCGGACGGAGATCCATCGTATACTAAAGTTGTAGTACTTAATAAGATTTAAAACTTTATAGTTAAAAGTTTTTCATTTGAGTTCATTTATTAGCCAAAATATCTAATATAAGATTACCAATATAAGATTACAAAATGTTGATATAAAACAATAACATATATTATATATAAACACAAATGATAGTGCGGACGGACATCTTATGACACCGCATCCGTTAATTGATTAACGGAGGCGGGTATGACGTCTGCCTCGAGAAAACTTGATTAACGGAGGCGGACGTGGTGCCCGCCTCCATTAATCAAAAACAACCGCCTTCTAAAATGAATACTGCAATATTGTTCGCTTGATATATATCTTCCCCGTGCATCTATCATGAACTGATACTTCGTGTCTATGTCGGAGCCTATAGCTAGAGGTAGGACTTAGATAGGGCTGTGCCGGCTTGGCATCGTCCTCATGCCGGCCTGGATAGTGACTTCTTGACACGCGAGGCATGTTGGGCCCTACCAATATGACACAGGTCTTTAGTTTGGCCAAGCACGGCCGACAACATGCCGTCATGGTTTCATACCATGCCGATCCAAACACAATCCTCAAAATATCTTTGTCTGTTTCCAAAACACTTAAGTGTGCTTAACCGTCACTTTCGTGTCATGCCGCCCTGACCCAAACATGGTCCAATTGTGCCACTTTTGTAGTGTGGCAGCCAAAACACAGCCAAAAAAAATATGAGTCAGACCATGTAGCCAATCCTGGCATTCATGTTGTACCAGCATGACACAAAAATATTGTGTCGTGTCCTGGTTTTGTGTCGTGCCAAAAGACTATGTCACGGCCTGCCCCGGCCAAGTCCCAGCTCTACACATAGCAACATTGCAGACAGATTTCTCTCAAAAAAAAAACTATAGCAGGCAGATCGTATAGTCGCAAGCCATGACCAACGGTTGGGTCAAAACGGTCAAACATGCCCCCATCCGTCGCTGCTCAGTAGTCAGTAGGCAATACTCCCGCGCCGCGCGCCGCGCGCCATGCGCCATGCGCCATGCCATCTCTCTCCTCAAGAATAGCCTCGCCGCGCGCGGAACGCCCGGAGCGCGCACCGCCCAATCCCACTCCCCGTGTTCGGCCGCCCCTGAGGGATCGCCCACCGCAACAAGGACCACGCCGCGGCGCACCGCCGCCGCGCCGGCAGAGCAACGACGACGACGACGCATCGTCATCGATCCGAGATGGAGCTGTTCGAGCGCGCGAGGACTGTGCGGCTGCGGAGCCACCACGACAAGTACCTGTACGCGGACGAGGACGAGGCGCACGTGATCCAGGACCGGAACGCGGCGTCCCCGAACGCGCGGTGGGTGGTGGAGCCCGTGCCGCACGCCCCCGGTGTGCTCCGCCTCCGCGGCCGCTACGGCCGCTACCTCTCCGCCTCCAACGAGCCCTTCCTCCTGGGCTTCACGGGCCGGAAGGTGCTGCAGACGCTGCCGCACCGCCTCGACTCCTCCGTCGAGTGGGTGCCCGTGCGCGACGACGCCGGCGCCAACGCGCACGCCCGCGCCGCGCGCCTCCGGACCCGGTACGGCAACTTCCTCCGCGCCAACGCGGGGCTCCCGCCGTGGCGGAACTCCGTCACCCACGACGCCCCGCACCGGCACAGCGGGTGGGTGGTCTGGGATGTCGAGATCGTCCAGGCGCTCCCGCCGCCGACGGGACCGGACTCCTCGTCGTCGTCCGCCGCCGCAGAGACCGACGCCGACCCCTTCGCCTCGTCCCCGACTCCGTCGTCGTACAGAAACAACCCGCCCTCCCGCCCGCAGTCTCCGGCTCCCTTGCCAACGTCGGCGCTGAGGCCGCCGCCCCCGCCGGCGCACCACCGTGAAGATAACTTGGCTCCGTTCAGAGCGCAGCCCCCGCCGCCGCCGCCGGGCTACATCGCGCCACCGGCTCCTGGTCTGTACAGGCTCGAGGTCCGTCCTCCAATCACCTGACCAACCAAAGGCATGCAGATTGCTTGCACGAGATTTCCATGGTGACTTACCATTTCGCCGGGATCGATCGGTTGCGTGTGCCCGCGTGCAGTCGACGGACTCCTTCACGGTGCCGCTGCACAAGGTGGAGGGGCGAGCGGTGCACTACCACATCGGGGACAGCAATGGGGAGGTGAGGCCGGACGAGGAGCCGCACTACTTGACGTTCAACGGGACGAGCCTGGAGGAACTGCTGGAGAGGCTCAAGGAGGAGACGGGGCTCGATGACGTCATCATGTGCTCGCGCAGCCCCATCAACGGGAAGCTCCTGCCGCTCCGCCTGCAGCTGCCGCCCAACAACGCGGCCGTGCATATCGTGCTTGTGCAGGAGTCGTCGAAAGGTGCGCTTTCTTCGTCAACAATATTATGTTAATTGGTGTCAACGTACCATTGCATCGAATCGACATAACACACCAGTTTTTTCGTCTATGGTTATATATCCTAACGCCCGGACGTCCGGCGAGCGAGATGCATCCCGACGCCGCTCCTCTTTCCAAACCCGCCCGTCCCCTCAACGCGAATAGAAATTGGATCGGAATAGAACGGAATGAAATTGTGTCCACCGCGCCCCTGTCCTCCGTTCCCCGCCGCGCCTCTGTTCCTGTTCCCCAACGCACCACATTCCCCCACCGCGTCCCTTGTCCCAAGAGCACGAAATACTTCAAGTACAACATATGGAAAACTATGTAGTGCAACATTGGAATATAAATACTGCAACATCACAAAATTATGTAGTGCAACGTCGAAAAACATGTACTGCAACACCGAAAAATATATACTCAACATCAAAAATTATCTCTCAGAACATTGAAACTTATGTACTGCAACATCGCAAAATTATGTAGTGCAACACGAAAAACATGTACTGCAACATCGAAAAATATGTACTGTAACATCGAAAAATTATGTGCTGCAAAATCGAAAATTATGTATTACAACATTTCAAACTGTAGTACTGCAACATCGCAAAAATCAACCATGAAACATGAAAATGGAAACATTTGAAAATCATCTGTTGCAATAACCCACAAATACCATTGCAACATTCAAAAATCATCTGTTGCAACATTCCAAAAAACCCATTGCAACACGGAGAAACAGATAGGACGTACAAACAGCAAGGGGATGGGTTCGAGGTGCGGTACTCCAGCCTGCCCATCACCTTCGAGCTCGTCGGAGGAAGGAGAGAATAGGACCTCAGATCTCGGCCGAACCCTAGCCACCGCCCACACCCTCGAGATCCAGAGGTGGAGGAAGAGGAGGAGGAAGAGGGCTCAGATCCAGAGGAGGAGGAGGAGGAGGGCTCAGATCTAGAGAAGTATCAACCTACCTCGTCGAAGCAGCAGCCACCGTCGTCCTCGTCTCCGGTGGGGGAGAGGGAGCCCGGGTTGCTAGGGAGCGTGGGGTCGCATGAAGGTCGTGGAGGGGGGAGGGATGGACGAAGGGAGGGAGGGAGCACGGGGGGGCTGGCGCGGCAGCAAGGTGCCACGCGGGTGCGGCGTTCGTCCGGGGGGTGGCCCGGAGAGCGGGCGGGTGGAGCGGCAGCAGTGTGCGGGGGGCGGGGCGGCGAAGGGCGGAGCGGCCGCGAGTGGGCACGGGGGAGCGGAGGGGTCACGAGATGGATAAGAAGTGGACGTGCGGGATTGGTGCGTCCAGCCGTCCGGATGCCCGGTTCATATCATTGTCGTTTCTTTTATTTACGAACCGAAACACCATATTTGCTTTTCATGCACTAAACCGAACTGAACTGTTACGGATACCACATATTGAGCTAACTTCATGATGTGGTGTAGGCATTAGTAGTATTGATTTATCCCCTTTCAATTTTTTTTTTGAGAAAAACAGTAGGGGTGTGCCCCTTACTAGGATTTATTAAACAAAATATAAACAAAAGGCTACCAGTACAGAAGTTCCCGAAACAAGGAAAGACAAAAAGAAAATGAGCAGAATTACACATAATTGTCTAGTCGATCACGAACTAAGTAATGGCCGAAGTGCTTGCTTTGTCCGGAGAATAACTCCTGCAAACTCGTCCTTGAAAATTTGCTTGCGTCTCCGAAGAGAAACATGTCTATTCCTGAAGATATGGTCATTGCCATGCGCACGGACCAAATTGCCTAGGACATGCAGGTTAACATTTCCAGGAAAAAATGAACTGCAAGCTACCTCTTGAAACTGTCCAGAATATCAAAAGGATCTATGAAACCTCCAGTTTGCAGACGTAGTGTGTGTTATAAAATATGTTGCCAGCAGTTAGGACATTCCGCTCTCCGTCTCTGATGATCAATGTACTGGAAGAAAATAAAACACATAGACACAAGAAATACGGAGATTATTCTTTATTTCTCTCAATATTGGCCATTACAACGTAGAGCTCCCACATATATATAGTCCTGCCAAGGCTTAAGAGTTTTGGTAAGAGCTCACATACAAAAGGACTAGGATCAGCATTCCTCATTCTCCTTTCCTACTAGATAGAGTCCGTATGTTTTACAACAGTGTGTTCCAATATTGGCCAGCGAGAGGGCAGGCTAGGAACAGATGGAGACTTTCCTCAATGTTATGACTGCAAAGGACATAATTCTTCCTTTGTAAAAGCCCTATGGTGTTTAATCTATCCTTGAGAAGTAACAAAAAAAAGGACTTCCCTTTTTTCTGGCAGGAAGATTTCCAAAGCCACCTAAAAACTGGATGAATTCGTTTATGGCCTATTAGATGCTTATATGCATTGCGGGAACAGAGAAGAGATGAACCCCAGACATAAGTCCAGATATCCGCATCCTGTGTGTCTCGAACTGTCTTAACAATAGAAGTGAAAGCTTGGTATTGATCAAAAGCCTCCACTGAAAGGGGTAGGTGGAAGAGAGATTGGAGCAGTACTGCTAGTCTTGCACTTTGAACCGAGATGTTTGGATTCCTGGCAAAGGAGAACAACTCAGGGAAGATCTGTTGAAGAGAAGGTCGATGCCAGTGATCCAACCATAAGAAGCAGGATGAACACTGTAGGGGGTAACACTGGCTATGCTCTTATAAATTGGCAGGAGCTTAAGAAGGTCTCTGCACCAGAAAGAACCTCATTTTTCTTGGATAGGTAGACGACCATTGGAGTAATGCTTCTCCCAAATCAAAAGCACCCAAGGGATATCAAGTTTATTAAAAGGTTTATGAAGTCTCCTGAGTAGCAGGCTGTCATTTTGAGTCTTCAAATCAAGAACCAGGAGAAGACACTTTTTTTTTTGGCTCTGGCTCTTCTAAAATGACTCTGCTCCTCTGGACTCCTTGCAAGGAGCTGTTTTTGAATTTCCATTTGGCATGGCTCTAGCGAGGAGCCGCAAGAAGCTTGAGCCGGTGCCCTGCCAAGCGGGGCCAAAAAATCTTAGCTTCACATGCTTCACTCATTTTATAGTTTATTTGGTGCCTCAGGATCCGGAATATCTATACGCTATAGTGCAAAACGGTGAAGCTACAGTAACTTGTCGAGAGGTTAATTTTAGAATTCCAGTTGCGGATGTACATAAGAATAGGGCCCAACCAGGTTGAAAACAGTGACCTGTTGATGTGCAGTCGAACTCTCTATCAGTGAGCTATGGACCCTGGCAGGATTTAATTTGTTAGGTATGCTATATTTACAAGATGTTTGCGCGAAGTTCTGCCACCTACTACTTAATGCTACTCCATCTATTCCAAATTATAAGATATTTTGACTTTTTAATACACTATGTATCTAGAAGTTTTGTATCTAGACATTAATTATAGTATATCTAAAAGCCACTATAATTATAAGACGTATCTAGACATAATTATAGTGTAAGACGTTACTGTAATTATGGAGGGAGTACAGTTACTGCTATAATTATAGTGTAAGACATAGTGTATCTAAAAAAGGCCAAAACTTCTAGATCCACTATAATTATAAGATGTTACAATGTATCTAGACGTTTTGGCTATTCCAAATTTTTGCTATCTATGCACTTAAACATACACTATGTCTAGATACATGGTAAAATCAACATATCTCTCGTAAGCGCCTTATAATTAGGAACAGAGGAGTACAATTACTACTAGCTCCACTAGGTAATAATTAGATGACGTTTTGGATAGCATATTTTACTTATAATTAGTTAATTTTGATTTCCAAAGCATTTCTAATTATTGAACATCAGCATATAGTAGGTAGCAATCGATATATTCCTTCTGTCGCAAATTTTTTTTTGGCGCTGAAGAAGATAATTAGCAGTAATCAATTTGATAGCAATAATATTCCTCCCAAAAATAACCTAACTTTATCATAGTATCAAATCAAACTATCTCAAGTTTGTTCACATTTATTTAAAAAATCTACAAATCTTTATGGTATTAAATAAATATAATTAGATTCATCATGAAATATATTTTAATTTATTTTAGAGTCATAAATGTTATTTTCTATAAATTTCATCAAATTTAAAATAGTTTTGACTAAATACAAACTTAAAGTTGCATTCTTTTTGGACATAGGTTACATTATTATATTAAAGTTCTTTCCATGTTTAACGGTGTGTATATGTGGATTAGGGATAGGGACTTCTAGTTAGTCTCGGCCGTGACTGTTTGTGCATGTGCACGCAGCATGGTAATGTTGTATGCATGTGAATTTCCCTGACATTTAATTTATTTCACTAGGATCTTGGTCTTGCTTCTTACCCGGCCTCTAATACAGTTTTTTTAACCATTCTGACTTTCAGTGGCAAAAACTTTTGCTTGATCAATTGACCATCCTGTTCACAAAATCATCTGATCGAAGATGGTGGAAGCTACGGCCTGTGTATCAAATGAAGAATTGTTCACCTATTGTGTATATATTAACTTTCTGATTAAAACAGTTCCAGTGGCTAACATAAGCAAGTGTACTTCTTCTGCCTCTGGCCAGCGGTTCTTATTCATCATCTCGGATTTGCTATGTATGTGTAGATATGTGCCATCTAATTCTCAAGATTCACAGTGATCTTTGTAGTTAATGAAGACCCTTGAAATTTTCGATGCAATTTATTTTCTCAGTTCTTGAAAGGATTCTTGAAAGTTTCTATACATATTGTTACCCTGAAGGCATTATTGCTGCTGAGAACTCAGATCAGGACAGTATGTTAAGTGAGGGCTTCATGTAAATGATATATTGGGAATGAGTACGGACAGCAAAGAGGGCATGTGAAGAGAATATATATTGTCAAATCATCAATAAATCGATTTGATTCGACAAAATTGAGGCAATTGTGTGGTATTTCAATAATAGTATTTACGTTATGCGAATTGACTTTATTCATCGTAGTTAGTCCATAGTTACATATAGAACCTTTGTTCTACATATAAAATTAAAGGCTAATATAACATGACAAA